AAAATAAAATGTAAAATATGTAGTCGATCTTTTAGCCAATAGAAATGGTTTCCTTCCTTTCCACTCTTTTTCAACCTTAGTGCTTTTACTTCTATTTTCTTTGCTAAAAATTCTCTTCACATCCTTTTCTGTTTAATCTAATTCCTCCAACTCATTTTCTTTTCTATTATAATTTTCCTTTGGGGCATTTTTAGAAAGTACAGCAAAGCTACAAGTATAAGCACTTATAGTCTTATCTACTTAATAGGGTCAGAATATAAGGAAGGACTTGGGAGAACATATTTGTAGCACAATAACTGAGAAAAAACTAGTATCCAGAGTATATAATCCAGAATATATAAATGACTTCAATGAATCAGGAAGAAAAAAAAAAGACAGCCAATAGAAATTTGGATAAAAGACTTTAAATTGCACTTGACATAAAAAGAAATATAAATAGCCAAGAAACATGCACATATTCTCAGCCATTTTAGTAATAGGGAAATGAAAAGTCAAAACACAAAGAGGTGTCATTACAACCCTACCAGATGCACAAAATGAAAAAAAGGGTCCATTGTTCTGTTCATGATTTGGAGCAACATGAACTCTTCCTTTGAAAACAATCACTTTGGAAAATAGTTTGCCTTTCTCAACAACCCAGCAACTGCACTCCTAAATATACACCTTGCCTGGTTATTTTCTTTTTCTTTTTTTAAAATATATTTTCATTGATTTTTAGAGAGAAAGGAAGGAGAGGGAGATAGAAACATCAATGATGAGGGAATCATCGATCAGCTGCCTCCTGCATGCTCCCTACTGGGGATTGAGACTGCAACCTGGGCATGTGCCCTGACCAGTAATCGAATCGGTGACCACTTGGTTCATGGGTCAACACTCAACCACTGAGCCACACTGGCTGGGCTCCTGGTTATTTTCTATTTTTCCTCCAGATCACACTTTGCCCTTCAGTGCCCTGCGTTGTTATGTCCATCAGGGTGTCATGGCAATGGGGAAGCCACTGCAGAAGACCTGAGGGGAGAAGAAAGGTGAAGTTGCGTATTTAGTCCTTCATGTACCTTTTTGTTAAGTCCCTTGACCTAAGGTCACAACCTCTTGTAGGTGTCCGTCTTCATATTGCATTCTCTGCTCGCTCTCCAGGCTCTGATAACCCGTTTCTTCCCTCACCTCTTCAGCCTAGGAGTGGCAACAGAGCCTTGCTCTTAATAGCCCTGGGGTGCTGCACGACCCTTTATGGTTTCCCCATACCCTGCCCACACCTATAGAGATGGTCCCTTTCTTAAACTTGTCTCAAATTACAATTTTTTTTTCCTGCCAGAACCCTAGTTAACACATTGCTCTGGGAAAACTATTGAACATATTCCCTAGGAAGCATGTATACTAGTAAGAATGCTCATTGTAGTACTATACTAGTAATAGCCAAGAATTGGAAAGAAACCAAATATTCAGCAGTGGTGGGATGGTTACATTCTATCATTGTATATTCCAACAATAGAATTCTTCACAGTGGTGAAAAACCAGAATGTGGATGGATATCACAAAGATAATGTGGAGCAAAAGAAGCAAGTGATAGAAGGATGCCATCAGCATGATTCTATTTATATAAAATTCAAAACAGTTAAAGCTAGACTATATTGTTTTAAAGATGTATCCATATGAAATCAAAGTATTTTAAAAAGCAAGAGTGTTGTTGTCCCAATGGTTAGAATAATGATTTCCTCTGAGTGAAGGTAGGCGAATGTGATTGGGCAGTGGCACCTGGAGCTTCTGGGATGCTGGCAGTGTTCTGTTCCTTGTCTTGTGAGGTGATTGTATGGATGTTCATTAAAAAATATTCTTTAAGCTGTACAAATATATTTTATGCACTCTTGTTCATATGTGACCTATATCACAATAAAAAAAATGGTAGAAACTGTTTTGCTTATCTGCCTTTTCCTCCATCTCTGCAGGCTACTAACTTCAATAGAGAAAAAAGTACATTTCTCTCTTCTAGGACTTTGCTGAACACAGCAAGAAAGTGCCATCCTATACCAACATTTTGAGTTTTCTTTTTTTTTTCTTAAATATATTTTCTTGATTTTTTACAGAGAGGAAGGGAGAGGGACAGAGAGCCAGAAACATCGATGAGAGAGAAACATTGATCAGCTGCCTCCTGCACACCCCCCACTGGGGATGTGCCCGCAACCAAGGCACATTCTCCTGGCTGGAATCGAACCCGGGACCCCCCCAGTTTGCAGGCCGACGCCCCATCCACTGAGCCAAACCGGCCAGGGCGAGTTTTTCTTCTAATACTTCCCCTAATACTACAGCCTCAATCAGCATTTGGTCTGCCTTCCAAAGGACAGCAGTTGACAATTTGACCTAATACTTTGTCACCATCAAATAAGTCACCAGCCAGTGATATTTGTGTCCCCACTGCCCAAAGTCCTCCCTCAAACACTAAGCCAATACTGTACATTAGGTTTTGTTACTTCCAGCACCCTACTTTCTGTATGAGTTTAGAATTTCACTTCAGCTGTGGGTTACAAAGGCCCAAATGAGAGCTTTTTTTTAAAAAAAATCCGTTTTAATTTTCACTTTAAGCCTCCGATTTTCTTGGACTCACGCAGTCAATTTCAGGTCACAAGATGGGCTTTTCCACATCCAACCCTACATGTGAGTTCCAGGTAGGAGGACAAGAAAGTGAAAATTACAAAAGGGCAACAAATTTGTCCCTCTTTAAGGAGCTTTCCCGGAAACCCCACATAATTTCCACATATCTCAAACTGTCATATTGTAGGGCAACTAATAAGGATTCCCCATATAGGGAACTGGGAAATGGAGTTTTTAGCTGGGTCCATTGCTACCCCAAACTGAATCAGGGTCTGTTAGTAATTCTACCGGTACCATAAAAAAAATTCCTATTAAAAACTAGATAAATCACATTGGTGAAATTTTAGAAGCATTTCTTAGAAATAACACACGGGTGCCCTCATTATTTTTTGGAGGTCCTAGCCAATTTAATAAATAATATGAATGAAAACTGGAAACAAAAATAAAACTTTGTCAGTGTGTTTGTCTATATTTTTTTAAAAAAATCTAGATTTAATAAGAGTTCAACAAGGTTATGACTACAAGATCAATATATAAAATAAATAGCATTCCTAGACCATAATAGCCAATTAGAAGATATAGGAGAAATAATCTCTTACAGGACAACGATCTACAAGATAACTAAATGGCAGGTATCTATCAAAAAATATGCAAGAACTTGGGAACTACAAAATATTACTGAAAGATCAATAGTACATCTGAGGAAATGAAAAAAGTAACTTCATGATAGGAAGGATGATAAAACTTGTCCCCAAATTTTCTATAAATTCAGTGAAAATAAAAACAAAATCCCTCATGTTTTTTCTTGGGAGTTAAGTAGATCCTAAATGTTATCTGGGAAAGCAAAAGCTCAAGAATAAGAAGGTAGAAGCACAGGTCCTATTACATACCAAGATTTATTATAAAGCTATAGTAACATTTGTTATAAAACTATAGTGTTACTATAGCTTTATAATAAACTAGAGGCCTGGTGCATGAAATTCATGCACTGGGGTTGTGGGGTAGGAGGGCTCATCCAAGCCTGCACCCTCTCACAGTCCAGGAGCCCTTGGGGAGCGGGCCTAAGCTGTCAGACATCCTTAGCGCTGCCATGGAGGCAGGAGAGGCTCCCGCCACCGCTGCTGCACTCGCCAGCTGTGAGTATGGCTTCTGGCTGAGCAGCACTCCCACTGTGGGAGTGCACTGACCACCAGGGACAGCTTCTGTGTTGAGCGTCTGCCCCCTGGTGGTCAGTGTACATCATAGCAACCAGTTGTTCTGCCGTTTGGTCGATTTGCTTATTAGCCTTTTATTATATAGGATCTGGGGCACAAAATGTTCTCTTGTATAATTAAGAAATAATCACTTTTGCTTTGTAATACACAATTGGGTTAGCAGTTTAAGAAAAACTCAAATGATATGGTGAGAATTGGAAACATGATTCCATTTAGTAAGCAAATCATAATATTGAACTTGTCCCCCTTACAAATGTGAGTTAATTTATGACAATCTTAGTATCTCATTGTTGCTGTCTACAGAAGGCTCAGGGCGACAGAAGATAATCGAGAAGCAAATGGTGGTACACCTCTCTAACTGCAGTCTCTTAAATTTACTATAATTTCAAACTCACACATGCATATATATAAACCTGGATATACATACATTGCACACACACACACACACACACAAAACCTCTGCCAAACTCATGTCTACTATTGAATTCTGCCTACCTTTGTGGGGCCTCTTGAAAACACTCACTACTTTCTATACCTTTTTTCAACCCCTTAGCAGTTACCTAATCTCTGGCTTTCGAACTCATTTTTCAATTTTCATCAGTTTCTCTCCCTTCTCTCTCTTTTTAAACATTTAATCACCTTTATTTGTTGTTTGTTTGTTCTTGTTAATCCTCACCCAAGGATATTTTTCCATTGACTTTTAGAGAGAATGGAAGAGAGAGGGAAAGACAGAGAAACATTGATGTGAGAGAAACATCGATGTGAGAGAAAACACATGGATTGGTTGCCTTCCGCAGGAGCCCTAATCAGGGCCGGGCGGGGGCGGAGCCTGCAATCAAGGTACATGCCCTTGACTAGAATCAAAAGGGAGAGCAGGCTGATGCTCTATCCACTGAGCCAAACCGACCAGGGCTCTCTCCCTTCTCTTAGGTCCTGCACCCGCGCATCTGTGTGCACGCATACCAAACAGGTGGGGTAGTTCTAGGGTCAAATCTAGTTTTGTTATGAGGGCTTAATTTTTTTTTTTCACTCCTAGAATATGCGACGCTTCCAGTGTGCCTGCTGGAGCCGTCCCACAGGTGTGAGTGGTTTGGTTTGGTTGTGATCCATTAGACACGCCATGGGATTCGGGCAGAGGTCCTGTTGTCCTTCAGGATTCCACTTTCCTCGCATATTATTAGAACTTGAGCTAGGCGCATGGTGGCCAAAGTAGATGGCTGTGTCTCACCAATTCGTTATTGTACAAACTACCAAGGAAGTGATAATACCCAAGAGGAGGAGCCCGGTAAGGTACAGCCGCCTTGTAATGGGACACCAAGGCTTACACCGAACGAGAAGAATGTCCCTCTATTCCAAAGAAAGTCCTGGAAGCCCATGCAGAAATGGGTTAGTGCCGAAGTTCTGATCCAAATCGTGCAAAGAATTGCTGGAGAACGAGCGGGCGTTTCCTCCAAATGTTTTCTTCAGGGAAAACCGAACCATGTCACCTGCCGCCACACCTGCGCGACCTCACACCTGTGCAGCCGGCGGCCGCCCACAGAACCCGGCCGGCCGCCCACAGAACCCGGACT